AGGAGGAGCTGAAGGGATCAGGGCTTGAGCAATCTGGGGTCTCCAAAATAAAGAGGGGGGAGCAGTGAGGGTTGGCACCCTGCTTCCCCCTGCTCCCGCAGGTCTGTGGCATGATGAGTTCCCCCGGCAGGGCCAGCAGCGCGTTTCCCCTGCACGTCCTGGTCTGGAATAATGACTACAGGCGGCTGGACGAGGAGCTGCAGGACAAGGTAACTGGGAGAGGGCTTGGTGCCCCTCGCTTACTGCCTTTCTAGGGAGAAGCAACCTTGACGGTACTGCCACATCTCTTTGCTGGGGTTGCTGTGCTTCTTTCTTTTTACCTATTTATTTGTGGTTGCGGGAGTAATGTAAGAAGATGTAGGAATGTACTTTTTGTTCTGTGAGATGTTAGACTTTGACTTCTTACCTGTAAAACCACTCACAGCTTTCGAGCAAAGTGCAGAATAGCTCTGCAGAAAGTATTAGGCATCATTGAAGCAAATCAGGAAGGGCAGATATGATGGATGTTAATTTTACATCTGTGCCAGAAAATTAATAAATACCACTTACCTTAATGGGTAGTAAATATGCAGCAAAGGTGGCTGCTGCTGTCGAAGATTAAACCAGCCTCTAGCTTGCTGAGGACCAGCAGTTCTTATGGCTTCCTTGCTGTCCAAGACTGTGGGGGCAGCCTTTTTATACTGGCTGGAATGTTTTCAGCATCTCTGGTTAAAAAAAAAAAAAGGATCATTGTTTCATGCTGTAGAGTAGAAAAATACAAAGCTGTTCTCTCTATGGGACTGCTAAGTGAGAAATAGTAGTGACGTAAGGAAATGGTCTGAAAAGCTGCAGCAGAGTGTGAGCAGCAAACATCTGTTTTTCTGAGATGCTGTGTAAAAGCTCTGACATTTGCTAGCGTGGAATCGAGTTTGCAGAAGCAGAGCACGTTAATTACATTATACCTGACACCACAAGTATATGAGCCAAAGATCAGCTGCATCGCCTCCTGACTAGTGACCATCATCTCCGGTTCTAACGGTACACCACAGTTTACTAATGCTTGCTTAGAGCATGCTCCTGTCCTGTTCTTAGGAGAATCTTTGGAATGCAGTTACTTTTAATCTAATACAGGGGATCTTATCCCTTAACAAAATCTTTAACTTTGCTGGCATGTTGCTTCAGTGTATTTCCGTTTCATTAATGTTCTCACCTGTGAAAGTTTGACATTAAATAAGGATCCTTCTGCTTCCTGTTAGTCTGCGACTGCAGTTCACACCTGTGAAGTGCTGCTTCCTACCTCAAACACTGTACTGTGAGGAAATGGGCAATGTGTTAAGATGGAACGAGTCTCTCCTCTCTCTCTTATTTCCTTTATCTGCTTTTAAATAACCTCTTTTTTTTTGAAGTACTCCAAAGATACGTTTCCTCCTGCTTCCTTGGGATAAGCTTCTTGCTATCAGAGGGATGCGTGAGGGAATCAAAAGACACTTGCCAGCTGCGCTCGGTATGGCAAACGGCGGGTCGAATGCGTGGTTACCGGTTAACAGCAGCAAAGTCAACTGGGAGGGATGCCTTAAAGTCCTTTACTGGTCAGTGCAGTAGGCATTGGAGCTGTAGGGAGTGGGGAAGCAAATTAATTAGTATTCCAGCACAGAAATGAAGACAAGAGTGCTTTAAAATGGAGCTTTGCCTACTCTGTGTGTGATCTTTCCAACTTAATGCTGTCAGATAACCATGTTAACTTGCATAATAACTTTCCTTTCTTATTCTGCTATTGACTTTCCCCTTTTCCTTTAGTTATAGATGCTCTTCTGTTTCAAATCTCTAAGCTAATAATGAAAAATATGTAAGGTATGAGTATGTTGTGCTTGCATGTTTTGGATATTTATGCCTGTGTAGTTGTGTTTTTCTTTTTATGGTGACTTGTACAAAATGCATTCACTCTTCATTGTGCTCTGTGTGTCAGTCAGATGGATGCTTTGTAAAATACCATTTGCTTCTATACTTTTGAAAAGTGCTACAAATTCAATGTTGTATGCCCTGTTGCCTTTTTATTTTTTTCCTTTCCCCCTCTTCCCCCTTATGTTGTAAAATGTTAAACCCTCTTGGTCTCTCAGGCTGTTGACACATGGTGCAACACGCACAGGCCAGAACTCCTGTCTTCTGAAAGAAGGGAGACAGGAAGGGAAATAATGACAGACAAACAAGTGAGAAGCACCAACAAGAACTCATGTCTGAGAGCGATGGCAGCTCTTATCGTGTCGGTTTTACAGGCCCAGTTCTGCTTCCCTTTTGATTTTGGTGGGGAAATAAGATTGCACTGTACGGAGTGCAGGAGGCCAGCACGGGAGCGTTTGAAAACTGGGTCGGCTGCGCGCCGCAGACTGACGTGTGGGAATGAATACCTGGGGAATATTGACTCCTGGATTACTCCTGACAGGCTTTGTTTATTTAAACTCTGATTAGTTGCATTTGATAGGACCAGCCTCAGCGTTACTTTTTCTCTCGGCTACTCAACAGGATGTTGATCAACGTGATCCTCGAGGCCGGACCTTGTTGCACCTGGCTGTTTCCTTGGGTTATATAGAGTCTGCCAAAGTCCTCCTTCAGCACAAGGCAGATGTAACTAAGGAGAATGCCCAGGGATGGACAGGTAAAGATAACTTGGAAAACAAGTTTTGTGTTGATGCTTTTAGGTTGCAGGGGTTGTGTTTTCACTGCTTTTACAGTATGTGTTTTGCTCAGAAAGCAAACTGAAACTAGCTTGTGTCTGCCTTTCAGTTTTACATGAGGCTGTCAGTACCGGAGACCCAGAGATGGTACAAATGATTCTGCAGCATCGGGACTATCAGCAGACCTCAATGACACTTGGAGGAGTTCCTGAATTACTCCAAAAGATTAATGAGGTAATTATTTAGGTTAAACTTCTTACTCCAGGCTGCAATTCTCATCCAGGTAGTTAAGTAAACGGAAATGAGATGGGCAATTGTGTTCTTTGTTTCGACTTGCATATTCCATAGTGCTGTGGCAGATGGAGACTTTTTTCCTTGTCTGTACTTTGAAATTATTGGTCATGAACTCCAACATTGAAGCCTGAATCTTGGAAGTGTTACTGCTCTTATAGTAAAATAAGGAAAAATGGCTCATCAGACAGCAGCAGTAGTGAGCCAATGTCTTTTGTGTTCGTTAAATGTTTTTTTTAATGTTGATTTATCATATCTTGAGTCTTTTTTTCTTTGCCTTTGTCTAAAATGTTCACAAAAAATGCTGTACTGAATGTTACAGTGAAACTATTTCATGGAGTGTTCATAGAGTATTTTCCTTCTCCAGACTCCTGACTTTTATGTGGAAATGAAATGGGAGTTCACTAGCTGGGGTAAGAATCCTGGTTGTCCTTACCTCTTCTAAACTGTAGAGGGGGGGATTTGCTTGTGTACAGGTGTCATAAAAGATCATAGAGTCACAGACTGGCCTAGGCTGGAACGGACCTTAGAGATCATCTAGTCCAACCTCTCTGTCATGGGCAGGGACGCCACCTCTCAACGAGATCAGGCTACTCAAGGCTCCGTCCAACTTGGCCTTGAACCCCTCCAGGGAGGGGGCAGCTACAACCTCTCTGGGCAATTTATTCCAAAGTCTTGCCACCCTCGTACTGAAGAATTTCTTCCTAAGATCTAATCTAAATCTATTCTCCTTCAACTTAAACCCATTTCCCCTTGTCCTATCGCTGGACACTCTTGTAAAAAGTCCCTCCCCAGCCTTCCTGTAGGTTCCCTTCAGGTACTGGAAGGCAGCTGTTAGGTCCCCCCGAAGTCTTCTCTTTTCCAGACTGAACAATCCCAGCTCCCGCAGCCTGTCCTCGTAGCGGAGCTGCTCCAGCCCCTGGATCATCTTTGAGGCCTCCTCTGAACACGCTCCAGCAGATCTATGTCACTCTTATGGTGGGAATGCAGAGAAATATCCTCTCCCCAGAATGCTTATTTCTTTGCCTATTGAATTTAAAGTTGGTGGGTTTTGTCCTTAAGGTGATCATTCTTAAAACTCAAGATCACTACCTGCCTTCCTTTGGACTAATGATCAGACTGAGCAATCCCAAACCAGGGGCAGAGCTTCTGCTGGAGTTCAGAATTTCGGTGTGCTTTGTCTCCTTAGTATCTTCTATTTACCTTTATTATTTTTTTTTGTAATTTTTCTTTTGCAGTCCCGCTGGTTTCTAGAGTTTGTCCAAGTGATGTCTGCCGCATCTGGAAAAGTGGTTCCAAGCTGCGGGTCGATATCACTTTGCTGGGCTTTGAAAATATGAGCTGGGAGAGAGGAAGGCGAAGTTTAATTTTCAAGGGAGAAGGTAAATATTTCAGCATGTCTGCACCATTGACTGCCAAATACTGTGAGCCACAATGAGAAATCTCAGTTTTGCGCAGAAGACCTGTTGAGGCTGAGGACTGAATTTTATAAGTTTTATACATACATTCTGTGAGTGTCTCAGAGAGATACTGATTGTAATTTAACATAAAGGCTTAATTTCTTTTCTTTGGGTAAATCTGAGGTCAAAGTTTGATAATAGAGCTAAAATTTGACCTCAGTATTTTTCTTTAGTTTTTCTTCTTCCATTCTGCTGCCGTTCACATGAAAAATAATTTTAGATAAGGCTCCAAATTTGATCTCACCTGAGTGCAAAATTAGCAGTGAATTAGTGTCCACCCTGATTCGATACACAGTATGTTGTCAGTGTTTCGTTCTGGAATACTGTTGCTAGGTTTTGTAGACTGAGGTGTACCCTTTCCAACAGATGCTGGAGGTTGGGCAGAACTGATTGAGATCAATCATGACGATAAGTTTGTTACAACGGAGCGTTTTGAGATTTCCCAACACATGAAGCGTTTGACGTTGGGATCAATGACACCCAAAAGAAAAGATGTGGAAAGACGCCTTACATCTCCAATCATTAACACGTGCCTTGATACAAAAAATATTGCTTTTGAAAGGTAAGCTGGAAAGTTTCTCTTAACAAATAACCAATTCGAGATTCTGCATGGTCATACTTGCGATAAAACTTCAAAAACAAACTCTCAAAAGCTATACTCATAGAAACTTTGAGGACTAGATAGGAAATTACTGTAAACTTCCCTTGTTTACTGCACGTGTTTATCCAGGTATTTGTCAGCTTAGATGAAGCAATTCTTTTTACGAAGCTCCTTTTGGAGTGCTCCGTGATGCAGACAGCCATGGTCATACAAATGTTTTCAAGTTGACAGGTATAATTCCAGCTTGTTTCTCCTGAATATTTAGTAACCTTTCAAAGCTGCCCAGATTTAGCCCCTGTGATGTTTGCTGAGCCTTGGTAACTGCAGCATCTACACATCCAGAAACTAAGATTTCTTAGAAGTTTTCCTACTCTCTGGTTCCCTAAACCGCAGTGACAGGTTACATTTGAAATAAAACTTTGTGTTAAAAGCTGCTGTGCATAGGCTGTCACACAAAATAATTCACAAGTTTTTTTGGTTGTCCTCTTCTGTGGCTCAGGTCTAATATCTTTGATGTCTAAATCATCTCAGTGTAAAATCCTTGAGCCTTTGTGCTTTGGCTACGGACTGAAAAAGAACAGGATCAGCGTGACATCCCCCAGTCTCTCGTGAGATGTGTTTGTGGGGACAGACTGACCTGGTGTTAACAGTCAAATAACGGATCAAATGTTGTTTAAAAGCTGTTGCAGAAAATGGGCTGGGAATTGTGTAGAAGTGCAATTGTATAGACGCTTGTGGCATTTATTTTTTGTCAGAACCACGTCTGGATTCTGGGTATGGAAGACAGAAAAAGCGGAAGGTGTAAATGGTTACGAAGCAAAGGTAAAACCCGATCTGTTTTATTCTGTTAAGAGGTCTTACAACTGACTGAAGTATTTTTGAGTTTGGCCTTTTTCCTGAGTATTTCAAGTCTTAAACTTCCCATCGAGAGCTTAATTGTGTTGCCAGCAGGAGTGGGCAGGAGTGAGGAGCTTGGAGGCTGCTGAGCTTGTGGGAGGGATGGTAGCTGTGTGCTCACTCCTGAGGATTGTCATTCTTTCGGTGTTTAAAACACAAGCAGCCCATTGGTGAAGTGCCGTGAGCACTCTTTAGTAACACTAGTGCAAGGAAATAACAGCCTCCTGCTGTCATGAGTTGCATCATGTATTCAAGTAATAAAAGGCTGCTGGTCAATTAAAGATCCTGACGATGCTCATGAGTCAGATGTCTCCTTAGATCTGTTTTGTGAGAACATTTCAGTGAAATATTTTTGAAGACAGCTTTTACAGCCATACTATATTAGGAATTTAAATTAAGAATTGCAAGAATTAATTTTCCCAATCCATATGTCGGCATTTACTCCAGGTTTTGGAATTTGTGCAATAAATTATGTTTCGTAATTTCGTTTAGTGGAAGAATAAATGCTGACTAGCATACTACATTTATATGAGAGCTTTTCCTGGTAAGACTGCAGGGCTGTTCAGCTGGACCTGGAGTTTGCAGAATTAAACTGCCGCTGAATTTCATTTGGGAAATCTTACGAGTGAATCCTGCTTAGAAATACTGTTACCTGATTTTCTGTCCTCATTCTTTCTTGAATCCCTGCCCAGGTGGGAATATTTTCCAGCAAGCTTGGCAATGCCAGTCTGGTTTTGAGTTTGGTTTGGGTAGTTAGTGAGTTGAGATTGGCGCTGTGTGGAGATCCAGTGGTGTGGGATTCGCAGGGTTTGTCACGCCGGCAGCATGCCCAGCAGGTGGCAGGTCGCTTCAGCCATAGGGTAGGTCTATGACGAAGGCATCATGTGCGTTTTCCACCAAAAAAAAATCAAAGTGCAGCATTTCCTGTTGATCACCAGTATGTTACAGATTAAGATCTGTGTCGATGAGAGGCAGACTCGTGTTGCTTCCTTCTGTCTTTAGGCTCGTGCATATGCTGTTTTGCTGGAGAGAACTCTTTTTAATAACCTGTGATGCTCTTTGGTTTTTACTGTACTTTTTTTTTTTAATTATTTTTCTATTTTAAAGGTATACATTGCAAACAATGTGAACGTGGTCACAAAAATCCGAACCGAACATTTAACAGAAGAGGAGAAGAAAAGATATAAAGGTAGTTTTCCTATAGGATAACTGGAAATAAGTAGAATCTTTTGGCTCTCTGATACCTCCTCCCCTGTGTGAGTGCAGAAGAACTGGGCAGACAGACAAGGGAAATACTTTTCTGGCTGACTTTACCTGACTTTACTTGCACAAGTTGTCTGTCTGTGGTGGCTCATTACTTGACTCCTAACCTCGAATGAACCAGTATTTATCCTAGCTATGTTTAGAGGAAAGAAGAGCTCTTCAAAACTGTTGAAAGTTTATTGAAAGCTTTGAAAGGCTGCACTCTTCCGTGCTTTTTCCTGCTCTGGAATGTATTTGTGCCTTTGCCTTGGCCATGATTACGAGATTCACGTAGGCTTTGTTTACTGGGACTTTTTGCTTTGTTTTAGTCCACTGATTTCTTCTAGTATTTAAACTAGACTAAAGGGTGGCCAGCAAGTAACTTTGTAGGGAAACGCTGGCCTTCACTGGTCTACCTTGGGGCTCAGGAGAAAAGGAGAATGATAAAGTTATCTGCTAGTGATAAAACCCACCAAGAATCTTTGCCTCTGTTCTCTGTATTGTACCAGATTTATACTCTCAGCTTGAGGTCCTGGGCTTGCCTGGTAGAGCTTGCAGGAGATGTAAACTAACCCCTCACTTGGGGATAGAAAGCTTGCTTGTTAGCCTGGTGTGTATGTAAATTTTACTGCTAATTAATAGTAACTGATGGTTTTGGGTTTTCCCCTGAAGCTGACAGGAACCCCTTGGAGTCATTTCTGGGTACGGTGGAGCATGAGTACGGTGCCCAGGTGAGTGTCTTTGACGTCGAAACAGGTCACTGCAGCACAGAGATCCGCGCTGATAGGAATTCTAGGGGGGTGGAATCGCCTCTTGTGCCCTCAGTCTGGCAGCAGTTTTGATTCTGAGGTTGAAATTTTCCCCAAGGATGTTTTTGTTTGTTTTGAGCCTTCAAATTTGTTTGGTTTGAGCCTGCTCTGGCAGGGGGATTGGACTACATGATCTTCCGAGGTCCTTCCAACCTCTAGCGTTCTGTGATTCTGTGAAATGTTCCGTATGATTAACAGGTGCCTCCTTCTGAACACTCCTACAAAAAAGACGTAGAATCCATTAGCACAGCAAGAACTGGAGTGTGAGCAGTGGCAGTAAATCCAAACAAGCGCAGATCTTAGTAGCAGCCCACCAGTAACCTTAAGAGTAACTGGAGGGTATTTTTTCGAGTACCCCAGCAAAGGTTTGGAGCCTAGAAATGCTGTAGCTTGTGTGTGTGTTTCTGGTTGGTTCCTAGCTTTAAAGTATTAAATTCCTGGAGACTTTTAACCTCACTAGAAGGCAGTCTAAATGTGTGTGCCTGTGTTTATGGCTACGTGCCACTGGCATCTAAAACAGAGAATGACTGTAGTAACCGCTGTCTATTTGTTCCACAGTTTTGGAGGATTTTTTCGTTCTCTCTTTTTCCTTGCAGAGTACGACCAAGACAACAGAGTATGCTACAAGTAACAATCCCACTGCTATTACTCTGGAGGAATACTTTGACCCAGAATTTGATTTGAAAGGTAGAGACATAGGAAGACCAAAAGAAGTCACCATTCGAACGCAGAAGTGAGACATAAAATTTTAATTATTTCTGATTTGTCTCTTCCCAGTCATCTAATCTCTGGAAAATATGTTTCCAAATAGCCAGTGTGGTTTTCCCCGAGCTTTCAAAAATAAGTCAAAAGAGAGATCTTGAAGTATTCAGCTGTTGACTAATTCTTCTTCCACTCAGAGAAAACATTTGGATGGGTGTTGTAACTTGTGGGTGACCTCCTCTGCTTTGCCTTTGGTCTGAGCGGAAATGTGGGTTGGTTTCTCAGAGCAGTAACTGTTCTGGCTCCTTGAAACATTTGCTTTGCATCTGTTCCTCAACTGTAAACTTAAAATGGTTTTGTGCACCTTTCCCTTTAAGGTTTAAAGCAACCTTGTGGATGAGTGAAGAGTTTCCCTTGTCTCTTATGGAACAAGTCACTCCAATCATTGATCTGATGGCCAGAACTAGCGCTCATTTTGCCAGACTTAGAGATTTCATCACTCTAGAGTTTCCACCAGGATTTCCTGTCAAAATTGGTAATATTTAGCATTTTTTCTTGCAATATCTTCTTCATTTCCAGTCTTTCTGTTGGTTTTGCAGCATATATTTACAAAAACAATGTTAGTTTCTTACTGGTCATCTCACTGACGCCTAGAACTGAGAACCCAGACATACATTGTCTTATGCATATGGGGCCATCAAATCCAAATTCTGGATAACAAGTAGAGAAGTGTACTTCTAAAGACAGTATCATTTCAGTGAGAATGAGCTGTTGCTTGCCTTTTCCTTTTAGCTTCTATGCCTTAGATTTGGCAAATCTTACTCTAAAATAAAAGATTTACAGAGAGAGTGAGAGTGACTATGGGCAACTTCTTGGAGAAGTGAGTTATTATAACCTTTGTCATTACAGGCTGCTGCTTGTGCAGTATAATCAGTAAACATGTAAGGGTTTGATGTGGCTGTAGGTGTGGAACTGAGAGAGTTCTCTTTTTCACAAAACTCTTGTACTCTTCCTTACAGAAATTCCCCTATTTCATGTGCTGAATGCCAGAATTACATTTGAAAATGTCAATGGCTGCAGGACGGCTGACAAAACGTCATCGCAGATGGCTGGAGCTGTGCAGGGCGATTCGGGTAAGGAGTGGAAAGATGCCGTGATCACATCTCTGTACGGTTCTGTCAGGGGAGTGCACAGAAGAGAGGAATGGGTTAACTGCAGGGAATGAAACGTTCCCAGGTGAGAGGAAGCTGGTCTGAATGTGTGATCCTGATCACAGGGACTTAACCTGTCCCTTCTGTGCCTGCCAGCCCCGCTAAACTGAGCTCTAGCAGACTTTCCCAAGTCTTCCGAGGTCTAAATTCTGGTGTGAGCTATCGCTGAGGGAAGTGCAATACAAAATTGCTGTACGTGACAGCCAGGTCTGCATGCCCTTTCAGAGAAGAGTGGATCGAGTAGGGTCCTCATGACTGTGTGGATCCAGTGATCCTCTGTCCTATGAGCTGTTGCAGGACGATTAATTAGGAATAAACTCAGAAAAGCCAGTGTGGTTTTTATCTTTTGCAACCTTTATTCCCCCTCATCTGGTTTTGTCAGTCAGCCACTTTAGTGCTGTGCTGCACACCGGGTTTATCTGTATGGCTTACCAGCATCCTAAAGAAAGACTCTTGCCATGAAAGTCTTTCAAAGCCATTGGCATATTTGGCCAGGTGGTTTATCTGAATTTTTGGAGTTAATCATGCATAAACATTGAGTAGAATTTCAGTTGCAATTTGTAAAAAAAGTACAATGTGCCGTGTTTGGAACTGTTTGGCTTCTGCAGGTGCTAGTTTCGAGGTTGACCAGTCAGTGTTCGAGATCCCCAAATCTTACCACGTCCAAGATGACGGCAGGAACATACTTGTGCAGGATGAAGATAACGAGATCATGCAGTTTGCCATCCAGCAGAGCTTGCTGGAGTCCGGTGGAAATAAAGTAAGTGTGCTGCAGCCGGTGCAGCGCAGGTGTGACGGCTCTGAAAAGGACTACACAGTGCTGGCTGCCTCTCTGAATTAAACCAGTGTAGGACCTATTTTTCTAAGAACCTTGGGAGAGAAAAAAATATGGTAATGTGTTTCAAAGAAGAAGTAAGGGTGATTTAGGAGTTGCCTTTCAGTGAGTTGCAGATCTGTTAACCGCTGTGGAATTGTCTTTCCCCGTTTCTAGGAAGCGGGGGTGCATTCCAACGGAGCAGTTGCGCATTCACAGGACTTCAACATACAGTACCAAAGGTAACCGATTTTCTTCACATCAAGCCGTGCAGTGACAGAGCAGAAAATACTTGCAACAGTTGCATGAAGCAATTTTGCAATTTTTGTGTGTGTGTACGTAGGTAGCAGGTGCACAGAACTCAAGGCCTCTTTTCTTGAGAAGCAAGGACTCAAAGCTGGGCCTCCCCACATTCTCAGATGTAGCTCTTTAGCTCAAATGTGGGACTGCTCTGCGCACAGAACACGTTCTTTGCCCCAAAACTAAACACAGGTCCTCTCTGTTGCTCTAAAAGCTGTCTCTCCAGGCTGAATATTTCTTTATTCAATGCTGCGCACTTCAGGGTAGCTCTTCTTTCTTTTCAAAACCCTTGTATAATCTTTAAAAACTTAGCGACGTGTTTGATGGACCCTTGAGAGGATGCTCGGACATCTGTGAGGTCTTCTTGCAGCTCAGTGCAAAGTGTGCAGGCGAAGAACTGCGCCCTCTTGGCTCTTTTGTACGTGGGAAATGCTGTTAGCTGTAAGCTAGGTGAGAACGCTTTTAGAAACCCACTGAAAACGTAACTGGCAGCGTGTGTGAAAGATTCTGAGGAAGCTTCAAAGATCAGGTGTTAGGCTGGGAAATTTATGGATGTTGGAACTGCTGCTCTCTCATCCTAAAAACTGCTTTCTGCCCTCTGGGGAGAGATTTTCAGATTTGCAGCTAGAAAACAGTTGCGAGGAAGGATCCATGCAGGAAATGTGAAACAGGCTCCATCTCTCTTACTTCTTGAACTTCTTTCTCTCCTTCAGGGCACTGCAGGAGAGCTACCTAACGAGCTCGGGTAACTCGCACTGCAGCACCCCCAGTGAACCTTCCAGTTTTGAAAAAGACTTACAGCTCGCCATGGAGTTGTCTGTCCGAGAGCAGGAGGAACGGGAGAGGCAGCGTCGTGAGGAGGAAGATGCAGAGCTTCAGCAAGTTTTGCAGCTTTCTCTGGTGGAAAAATAACTCCTGGGCGATTCTCCTGAAATAAGGATGACCAAATCTGCGTCAAAGGGAAGGCTTTCAGAGGTGTCGGTCTGAAGAGCACTCCTCGATTGCCGAAGTAAACATTTCGCCTGCCTTCTAAGTTGGCATCATGAGCTATGAAAAGCAAATTTGTTTTTGTCCGAGGGGGTTTCAGAAACCATGGGACCCTGCATTTGGCTCCCCAACCTTAGCTTCCAAGGAAAAGTATTCATCTAACCGTATTTATTGAAGAGCAGATGGAAATTTTGCTTAGCGTCGGGATATAGGATTACAGGAAAGCTTGAAAACCTGATTCATGGAGGAGTTCAGATGGGAAATTTCATTACTTACCAAAGAAATCTTCATCCACTTAGTCATTTCTGAATAATTCGAAGCCATTGCCCATTTCTTCCGGTTGTTACACGGAGGAGTATCTACACGCCTGCACACACGTAGGGTAGTTTTCAGGCTGGCAGTGCACCACACTGCCCGCTGTCTCCTGTTCATTCTGTCTCTGCCATTATCTCTTCTCTAGTTGCTGAGATTTTACCGTGTGCTCCTGCTTAAGAGGGATAACTTTATACTTGAACAGCTAATCCAAACTCGTGCTTTCTGAAAACAAAGGACAAAACAAGTAGCCAGTAACATTTTTAGATCCTAAAACGGGACCATGCGTCTAGTGAAGTAGCAGTTTCTCAAGTGATTCAAAACCAGCTCATTCCCGTAGTCTGAGGGCAGCGAGAAAATAATGAGCGGTAGGTACAGGCACTTCTTTGCGATCACTTGGAGTGTGTGCATAAGCATGGGTGCTAAATTCAAACAGAAAGGAAGAAAAATAAAAAATCAGGTGAAATTTTAATGTATGCTTACGGGAAGATTAGTTTTAATTCTGTCATCCGAAAGGGAAACACGTGTCGCTTTTTCAGATTCAAATGCTCATATCCTTCATGTGAATACATATATTTTTTTATCTGAGTATTTTTATTGATTTTAAACCAAGCCAGTACGACTACACTCGTATTAAAAAAAAAAAGGTATCGCAACACGTCACATGAGTGTTTTAACTAGCTTTCCTCAGGTCTGTTGGCAAACGATATATTTGTAGCTCTTTTACCTGCACTTCTGTCGGCGTTTACAGCACTTACACTGTGACTCTCAAGTGCACTCCGTGAGTACGCGACGTCCGTCCCCAGGAAAGCCTTACAGCACTCACCCCTGAGCAATATTCCTCTGCGCCGGCTGGCAGAAGCGCGAAGAATCTGTGGTACCTACGGGCTGATCCTGCACTCGTTCCTGGGGGGTTCTGCATGACCAGCTGCTAACCAGTATAAAATCCCTGTAAAATGGACTCGGAACTCTCTTTTAAACCCAATAATCCATTGTTTTGCATAGCAACTGATTAAAATTCATTCAGCGTGCGCTGGAACCGGTATCTCCACACGGGTTTTTGTTTTAACGCTACAGCTTGCATCATCCCGACGTGCTTGTTTGGACGCAGTGGTCGGTGTTGGAATCGCATCTTTCTTTGAGGAGGGGATTACTGTGAGTTCCACGGTGGGGAAAAAAGTGGGGAAAAAAGGGAACGAGCTGTGCATGAGCTCTTGACAAAGTTGTGAGGTAGAAGATGAAACTGGTTTTTTTCCTCCAGTGGAAATAAAGAGTGCTGTTGCCTTTCTAATTCCATCTGTCTGACGTCACTGCTTGTCTTTTTTGTGTCGTTTTTGAGGCTGGTTTGTTCTCTATTATATTGCAAACTAAAAAATATTGAGCATTTTCGAGTTCTCTTATGCTCCTGCTTTTTAGCCTGAGGCTATAAAAAAATTGGGGTGAGCTTTTGTTGGGTTTGTTTTGGTTTTTGGTTTTGTTTATTTTTTCTAATGTGGTAACTGGAGTATTTTTGAGTAATTACCCTTAGCATTTCTGCACAGTAAAGGTGACATTGCCATCTGTGAAACTCTCAAAGAGAGTTCTAGTTCAGTCTGAAACAGACACCTACTCCCTGGACCCTAGGCCCATGCTGCATAGCTGAGCCCAGCATTTCTTTCCAAGGAAACTCAAGGCTTATGGAGGAAAGCAGAAGCTCAAGCCCCTGTAGTTTGTTCTAAAGCTACAACCAGCTCTTAAACAGCATGAGTTCATGTTCTTCAGACTGATACCATTTCCTCAGGGTTGGTGGTGCATGGCTGCAGCTGTTGCTGAAAGTGGGACTGATCATTTTTTGGACTGTCCTTTCAACAACCATCCTTGGAAAGCGCCCAGCGCCCCCCGTCCTACCTCTGAAACGGGGGAAGATGATGCGAAGTGGGGAGGGGGCTGCCTCAGCTGAATTAATAACAAACGCAACCTCAGTGAATAAATACAAGAGTCCTGGATCACTTACTGAGCTTTTATTTGTACAAAGAGACAGAGCAGGGAGCAAGGGATGAATGCAGACGGGAATCTTGCTCTGGGGAACTTGGAGCTGTAGCCGTGAGCTACGTCATCCGTCCCCCAGGAATAGCACAGAGCTATGGGCCAAGGCTTACACCGGATGAAGGACAGAGAAAAATCAGTAATGCAGGACTCAGTGATCAAAAAAAGGATCAGAAAGCAATAGAACAGTGTTACCTTCCCTCCTCACCTGTGTCTCACTTGGATTAGTAACTACATGTGTTCTACACCAGCCTCCTACTCTCACTTTACCAACAGAGCAGCAGCAAAGGAAATTCCCCGCTGCAATGAGAGGTCAGTGCCCTTTAAAACACATCAGGTGCAGCCCGAGGTTTTAGAGACTAGGTCATTGCAATTATTCTGGAAGTTTAAGTTTTAAAATAAGAAATAAATTACTAGCCCAGACACCCCTATGTTAAATACCAAAGTAATACTTCACAAGCAAAATCCAGTTACTACTCGTGTAAGTGCAAAACAAAATAGCAGCATTCATACATGAGTGTGATTTCAGTGTAAACACTTGAATTTGTTACTGAAAACCCATAGAACGGTCTGGCCAGAGCTTAAACACCAAGGATCTCCAGAGAGCCCAGCCCAGATGGCACAAGCATCTGTCTGGCTCGTGGGCATCAGGAGGCTCCTGCTCGCGGGAGGGCAGCGACCTGCTCCAGGCACGGAGCCACCCACAAGGGGACGAGCTGAAAACCCCACGCTGCAACAAGTTCAGCACGGTTGGTTCAGTGGCTGTTCAGCTAAGAGTTAAAATAAATCATGTCAGGAATGACAAGCCCATCCCTGAATCCTACCGCTTCTGTATTTCTGTGCAGGGACAAGCGCAGCCGCGGCAGTTTCACCCGGTTTTTGCCTTCAGGCTATTTTTGAAGGCTGTGCTACAAACTTTTTTTTAGCAAGGAACGGAATTAATGGGAAACCAAAACTAGACGTGGGGCAATTGAGCGTGCGCGCCTGCTCGTCAGACAGCGAGAGCAACAGTCCGGCCGGGTTCTCATGCAGACCCCGAGGGTCGGTTCCGCAGGCACCGCTGGGAACGGGTGTTGTGGTGGGTAGTGCTCCCGGTGCAGACATCTCTGGGGATTTTATCGAGCGCGTAGTGTCCCATCAGCCCATCCAACCTGCTGCCTTTTGGGAGGAAGGCACGTTGCTACAGACTCTGCTCAAACTCAACGAGGTTTGCTGCGGAAGCGCTCCCGGGAGGTCCAGGAGCGAGTTTGCTGAGAAGTGGGGTGTGATTTTCCAGCACCCAGCCGGACCGCTGTCAAAAGC